CACACACACACACACACACACACACACGAGTTGTCAGAATGTACGATTTTACTCTCAGATAAATGTTTTGCTTGTTTGTGAATTTAAAGGTCATTAAAGGCAAATAAATAATGGTTATTTGCCTTTAATGAGACAAGATGCAGCAGAGATGAAGCAGAGCTGCAGTCGTCTGGTCTTCCTCTCAGATACTCTAAAGCGGCGGCTGGAAGGCAACAGCTCAAACTCACTGTGAACAACTAACAGCAGAATGAGCCTTTCTAAGCACGTTTCTATTGTAAGTGGCCAAAGTCCATCTGCGCCCTGAAATTTTGCTAGCAGCTTTTACCAGAAGTCCCGACCGATTCTTATTCTTCACCGTCAGGTTACCAAACCAGGCAGCGATACAAAAGGACATCACAGATTCGATAAAACTTCTATAAAACAAAGACAACAGATGAGATGAGACATTAAAAGATCTCATTTTCCTTAAAAAGAACCGTCGTTGTTGAACTTTTTTAGTGGCATCAGCATGAGATTCAAAACAGTTTATGATCAAGTACCACAGAGAGATATTTATAACTCTCAACGATCCAATATCAGCGGGTTTAATGACGGAGGGTGATGAGCTATAAGAGGACTTCCTAAAATCTATAATCATGTCTTTAGTTTTTGGCACATTAAGTGAGAGGAAGGACTCATCACACCATCTACAACCTGTCCACGGCCTGACTCGTCCCCACTAGAAGACTGACGATCACTGTGTCGTCAGCAAACTTCAGGATGTGTCTGTTTGTGAAACTGCTGCGACACTCACTCGTGTACAGAATGAACAGGAGGCAGCAGGCTGGGGTGATGCAGCAGAGCAGGAGAGCACATCAGGAAACACATGATTCACCCTCACACATCGTGACCTATTAGTCAGACAGTCTGTCACCCAGCCGACCACACTAGTTTAAAATGATTGTAAAGCCTGTCAGCAAGTAAGAGGGGTTGAATTGTGTTGAATGCTGATGAAAAGTCAGCAAATAATAATCTTGCGTGGGTGTGGGGGGCCTCAAGATGCTTATAAAAGATGCAGGAGTGTGACAGCAGCGTCCTGCACACCTCTCGCTGCTCTACAGGCGAACTGGACGGGGTCAAGATGGTGTTCAACATGCATTAAAATCTCCTTCTTAATTATCTTCTCAAATGTCTTCATCACTAAAGAAGTCAGAGCCACAGGCCTAACATCATTCAGTGCCTGAGCAGAACTGCCCTCAGCAGCAGGAACAATGACAGCATGTTTCCAAAGCTGAGGCACCGTCTGTAGCTCTGAAGAAAGTGAGAAGATATGGTGAAAACCCCACTCAGCTGATCTGCACAAGCTCTCAGTACCTGTCCACAGACGCTGTCAGGTCCAGGACTCTTACTCTTAGTGTGTCTGAAGAGATTAGCTCCCCCCCCCCCCATCAATACAACATGATGGGGGGGTGATGGTGCTGGTCTGCCTAGAACAGTCAAAGTTCTCAAAACGCAGGTAAAAACTGTTGAGACTGATGCCAGACGTTTGTCAGAGGTAAACGCCTCTAACGTGATATTACTTTTAGCTTTGGTCTGTAGCCCTGCCGTTGTTTTCATACCAAGCCAAGCTCTTTAGGGTGTTTGAGAGAAGTTTAAAGACTCCTCTCAAACACCCTCAGCTGCTGGGACCCAGTCGTACCAGTATGAGTTGATAATCTTGCAGAAGGCCAGCTCGCAGCACATCTTCAGGTTGCTCTGATGTTCGGCCAGGTCTCCGGTGGAGCATCGGCTCGGGTCCACCTCGCAGTTCTCGTCCGACTCGTACAGAGCTTTAATGAACTCGCCTGCAGACACAGACGGACGAGGCATGAAGACAAACTGACGACCGGGCGAATCAAACCACACAGGAAACAGTTTTTTAGGAGGCGGCTGAATTTACTGGACACGTCTTCCCTTCATACTCTTAACGTTTCACGAGTCGCAGCACGTCTGAGCACCTGTGTTGAGGAGCCACCTGTCCCACATGCTGTTTCAGAGTGAAACGCAGCCAGGTCCAAACCAGTATGAATTTAAATATGAACTGGAGCGACTGGTTTCACCTTTCTGGCTCTCTCATTAAGAGTGAGGCCTTCACTGTCAGCAGAGAAACTCTGTATTTACAGCTTCCATCCATGTTAATCTTTAATGAGTCGCCCTCTGAACCTGATGACTGTTTAACGGGCGACACAGCGCGATGACACGACTCGGCGAGCTGAAAATTTGATCAGCTGAAAATACGACAATAAAAAGTCGCTGTGACAATCAAACGCCTTTAATCGATGAAACCTGCCGAGGAGGCAGGAACTTATTTCTATTTCCAGACATGAAGCTATAAATATTTTAACGAGGGTGACGCTGCTCGTGTCTTTGAAGCGTCTCTCAGTAACAGTTTGAAGAAGCTTTATTGGTTTGTAATGGCGGCGGTCTCAGCGGGCCTTCTGCTGTCACGGCCTCGACTATTTACAGCGTCTCTTCACAGCAGAGCAGAATCAGCCGGAGGAGGATGAGGATGATGCAGCAGAGCAAACGCATAATTAAAAATAATTTAAAAACTCAGTCTGCTGACAAAATCTTCACCGACTTTCTTCTTCATGTGTTTTTTTCTTTTTCCTGGCGTCAGCTTTGCCGGCGAGGTGGCGTCTGCTCTGTGGAGCAGCTTTGCATGACTCACAGTTCATAATAATCCTCCTTTATCTGACACCAGGACTCTGTACAGCTGCTCGGTTTATCCTGTCTGAAACAAGCAGCTTTAGCTCCTCCTCCTTTAAACCAACTTTCAGAAACGGCGGGTGGGCGTGGCTTCTGAGATTACCATAAAAGGATACCTCATCTCTATGACATCGTACGAATCCAAGAGTACAAAAAACTGTGTGAAACTGCACGTTTAGTCAGCGGCTCGGCGCTGCTCATAACTGATTCATTGATTAGATGCTAAATAATTATTTAACTGCCAATTATCAATACAGCTGATTATCATTTTTAAGACCTCTCTGACACTAGGTTTGGATATTTTGTTTTCTTAATTGTAAACCTCTGGGTCCAATAACAGTTTAAAAGTTCACAGGATAAACAAGGTGACTCCGCCCACCAGACGGCAGGTTACAGGTGTGTGCGAGGCTCACCGAGCGCGTCGTGCAGGTATTTCTGTCCCACCAGCTTCAGATACTCCTCGATGGCCTTGGTGGCCAGCGTGTTCTCCCTGAAGATCAGGACGTCGTGGTCGGCGCATCGATCCACCTCTGACATCACCAGGTCTGTCAGGAAGTCCTGAGGAAGAAGAGGCGGAGATGAAGAGGGCGCCATCATAGTTAATCGGCTCACTTACAACATTGGTGCATTTACAAACGCTGCACGCCTCCTCTGTGATCCATGACATGAGCTTCACTGACCAACTCTGGTTAATGTTAATGGAGTTATGGAGTAAACGTGCTTTATGCATCATTTTGGGCTTTTACTGAATCTGCACGGATTCACTGGAATCGTCGAGGATGGGAATCCTCGGGCAGCGAGCATTTATGGAAACGCCGTCGTATTTGGGTCAGACTTTCTGCTGTTATGCTGATATTCAGGAACCCGTGTGAAGGCGGGTCCAGAGCGAGCGCTACCTGCAGTTTAAACCTCTGGGCTGACATGTTTAGCTAACAGGAAGTCAAACGTCAGCGTGGCTGATTCTGACCTTTGCCCTGCCCGTGCTCTGCAGGATGTGGACCAGCGCGCACGCCATCTCCTCCTTGTTCTTCACGCTGATGACGGGCTCGAGCACCGAGCACAGCATGGTGTAGTTGTTGGTGACGAACTCGGCGAACTCCTTGTACTGCTCCATGGGCAGGATGGAGATGGTCTGGAAGCGCGACTTGATGCGGATCGACGGCCCGCCGCCTTTGCCCTTGCTGGTGGTGGGCGTGCTCACCGGGTACCACTTCTCCACGAACTGCCGGCCCGTCACGCTCGCCACCGGGATGTTGACCAGGCCCACGTAGTTGTTCTTGTCCTTTTTCTTCTTCTTGTCCACGTCGCGGTAGATGTGCACGGTGATGCTGTGCACGCCGGGCAGGCTGGAGAAGTCAAAGTACTCGCCCCAGAACAGGCTGTCGTGGCGGGTCTTGCTGGTGGTCCGGGCGTACAGGACGTCGTCCAGACACAGCTCGCAGAAATATTTCTTCTTAGGCGGCAGGTCTTTGGCTTCGATGATCCAGAGTCGCAGCAGGTTCTCGGCGCGCCGGCAGTTGTCCTGCGAACGCAAAGAGTCTGTTAAACTGATTTTGTGACAGCACAAACTAACGGACTGCAACTGCAGTTCCTCTGATGGCCACTAGAGGCGTTACAGCAGAAGTAAATATTTCATGGGTGCAGCAGCAGGACAGGAAGTCGGCGTTGAACTGAACAAACTCTTGGTAGAGCTCGTCTCACCTTGTTGGGCTGAATCGTCCTCCTCAGGTTCTCCATCCACTTGTCTCTCTCTGAGGCCGATGTGCAGCTGAAACACTTGCTGCCGCCCGAGTACGTCACCTGACAGGTGAGACAGAGAGGGAGGGTCATCGAAACAACCAGGGCTGCAAAGTGACACGACTACTTACAGGTACCTGCTAAAACATCCAAAGGTAACAAGACCGGGACACAAAACATATCTGCTCTTTTCTATATCCGTCTTTATTTATTCTACAGCTGAAAGGACCTGATCAAACTCATCGTTTATCAGTTTTGTGACGTCAAAGTGGAGCTACATCAGTCACAACGAGCAGCGTGGATCCACTTCACGAGCGTCAGTAAAAACGAACGCTGCCCTCCAACACAATCAACAATTAATTAGAAAATCTTTCTGCTGTTAATCATCAGCTTTAACTGAAGCTCAGCTCAGACGTTTCGCCGTGCTTCACCTCGAAGCAGAACTCCTGTCCCAGGATGCTGCTGTGCAGAGGCTTGATGAACACGTCCTCCTCCATGCTCAGGTCCAGAGCCTCCACCGCGCTGCCCGGGCTCAGCAAAGACTCATGGGAGCTCGACTCCTTCAGCTTGGGAAGCACGCGAGATCTGGAAGACAGGAAGGAGATGGAAAGGTAAACGGATGTTAGGGCGAGTTTAAACCACAGGGGGCGCCGCTGAGCCCGGTAAGCGGCGCCACCGACTTCACCAAACTCCACCCGAGCCGAGAGCACCTACGAAAAACAACCACAGAGCCAGGAGAGGGGGGGGCCCCAGAGCATCCCTCCCACCTCGACCCTCCGGCAGACGCGCAGCAGCTCTGGTCACCGCCGCCGCCGCGCTTCACCCACACAGTCCAGCAGCCGGTAAACAAATCCTGAGACGGCCAATCGCATCCTGCCTGCGGGACCGTAACCGTGGCAGCGGCCCCCGCTGGGACAGCCGGCGCTTGGCAGCGAGTGTGACGCAGCGAGGAGCGTCTCAGAGGACGCAATAACGAGGAAGAGCTGCAGCGCTACGAGCAGCAGAAGAATATTGAATCATTCAATACAGCTCCAATAAATCAGAATAAACTCTGCAACGAGGCTTCACGGTCACGTGACGGCGCCGACGGCGCTTTTGCAGTTCAGAGCTGATTTTTAAACAGAAACTGGTGAAGCTGCTTTTACCTTTGATGCTCCGACCGGCTGGACCCGCTCACATCAGCCACACCACAACTTCTGCTTTTTATTTGAGCCTCAAACAAAGTTTTCTGCAGATAAAATCTGAACCTGCGTCTCTGAGAAGCTCCTGTTTCAGGTGGTTTCACTTCCCCGTGTTTATCCAGCGCTGGTTTCCAAATGTTTCCCCGAAGCTCATCGAAGGGTCGGCCGGTTCGTAGCCCC